AAACTTCTTAGAAACACAAATTTTTGGTTTCATCCCAGACCTAGTGATTCAGAAAATCAGGGTGTTGTGTGCAGCAGTCTGTGTTTTAACAGTGATTCTAATGCACTCTCAAGTTTGAGAAACACTACCCTAGCCCTAGGGCCAAGCTTGGGTCAGAACATTCATCATGTGAATTTCAAAAATTAGAAAAACTTTACATTTGTATCAGGATCTTCAGCTAACCAAACACTTCTCCATCTTCATTCCCCTTTCTTATTATAGCAGTTGTTGTAAGTCAGCAGCAGGCATAACAATAAGTTTTGTTAAGCTCCATTCAATAGATAAAAATGGTAAGGTTGAAAAAGAAAAAAAAAAACACTTTCTCAAATGATAAGATTGAAACAGGCAGAGTCAAAGCAAGAATCAGGCCCAAGGCTCTTCCCACAGTAACATAACATCATTCAGAAACCAGTAAAATAAAATAAAGCACCAGATAACTCAGTTTAGGGGCCAGAAATGTGAATACATGTTTCCCTTCGCAAGGATGCTGGCTGATGTGGTAACTAACCTTTCAGGAGGATTCCTGAGGCTTTGGGTTTCTAAGGCTCCTGAGTCAGTCCTTCAGGACAAATTAGGACAATAGCCTGTACAGCTTACATTGGAGAAATGGCAGATTTTTTTTTTAAAGGCACAATAAATGGCGTTTGTTTTTTTAAAACCTTCTAGCTTTCTAGGGGTGAAGAACCCCTGCCTGTAGGAAACCTCGCTTCCAGATTAGTCCTAGCAGAAGCACCTACGGTCCTAGCAGAAGCACCTAAGCCTTGGTGGACACAGCCGCAAATGTTCTGGAAAATGGGGACAAAAAAGGACTGATCAGGGTCTTGTCTGTGTTTGGGTGGCTGTCTGGCGCCCCCTTGTGTCCAGTATCTGGACCCAAAAGTGACTGAAGAGAAGTGAAGTGGGCGGGGACAAATGGCTACAGCCATTATCCACAACGGGGTATGGCCAGAGGGGAGCCAGTAAATGGGCTCAAGGTGGGCAAGGGCCACTCTGCACACCATCTGGGCTGCGCTGAAAGCCCCTCCGGACATTGGCCCAGCCCGGGTGGAAAAGCACTTACTGGGACAATTTGCCTAGAACAGGACAGGTGGAAGTTATGCCCAAGCTTACCCAGTTGCCTCCACCAAGAAGCTTGATCATCGTGTCCCTCCTGCTGGGTGTTTGGCCAGTGGGATTTTCCTCCTGACTTACTGCCCAGGGCAGAGGCTTATAGCCTTTTTTTTTTCAAGGGAAATTGACTGTTCTGCTGAAGACAGCTTGGGCCCCTGAGGAGGAATTACAAAGCAGTTCTGAACGTGCTAAGTCAGTGGGTGATAATGGGCACAGTGTGCCCAGCAGAAGCACTTCCCACCTGCGGCCATAAATAGTCCTTAACTGGTTCACACAGAAGGCCTGGGGTTGGCTCTGCCTTCTTGCTTGCCTGCTCCCTCTGACTCCCACCCCCAGGATTTTCTTGTCCCAGCCAGATTACCATATTGTACAACTGGTGTGAAAAGATCTTTCATGCCTGGACCACAGCACCTTCAGCGCAGGACTGTAGAGCCAACCCCAAGCTTTCAGGGTCATCTCTAGCCACAGAGCAATGCTCACCCTACGGAGCAGCACTGATCTGAGCCTTCAAGTTTGGCTGAATCCTGTCTCCAGGATCCTGACGATCCTAACTCTAAGATCCTGACTCGTAGATGCTGAGTCATACAAGTCACTAAAACACTCTGAGCCTCAGTCTCATTGGAAAAATGGAAATCTTGAACCTAATATTAGCCCAATATAGAATGGATCTAGGAACTTTATAGAATTAAATATGCTGGTAAATCTAACAAAGTACCCTCTTGCCTCTAAGCCTTTGCACATGCTGTTCCCACTGCCTGGAACAGTTTTCTCCCTTTTCTCCCTCACTTGGCTAGCACCTCTTTATCTTCAGTCTCAGCTCAGCCTTCTCCAGGAACATTTCTGTATTTCCCTGAGATAGGCCTGGCTCTCCTCCTCTGCTTCCCATAACCCTCTGTCTATCCCCGGTCCCAGGAGTAGTCACGAGGTATGTTAATTGGCTGTTTGCTGGTCTGGGCCCCCACTGTAATAGACCCTGTGAGGCAAGAGCAGGGATGAGGTCTGCCTTATTCATGCTGGCATCCACAGGGCTTGGTACAGTGCCTGGCATCTTGTTGGCACTCAATGACTATGGGTTTGACTGAAATGGATGGGCTCAGAATGAAGCACAGGCTGGGGTCAGGAGCAGAGGCCAAATCAGGAAAGCAGCCAAGGAAACATGCTCACACCCATGGCCTGTCCACATTCTGCACAACTGCCTGCAGCCTGACAGGTCAGTCCTAGAACCCATGGGTGCATGTGCCAGTGAGGTCTCTGCCAGTCATTTTTGTGGCTGTGGACTGTTAGAAAGAGAAGAAACCTTTGGGGGTCATTCAGGCCTGGAGCCCCAGCTCAACCAGAGACGCTCTGCTTTTATTCTTTTGTGTCTGTGTTTCCCAATGTGATTGTGTCTTAAAAGTCTGGTTTCATGGTTTAAGAGGAGAAGGAGAATTCTGGAAACCACTGACTTAGACCTGTGCCCTCATTTTGCAGAAAAGTAAAGGAGACCCAGTGAGGAGAGAGGATCTTCCCCAAGGTCACACAGCTCAGTAACGGCATAGAAAGACCCCAAATCCTGGACTCCTTACATACTTTTCAGAGGGAGGGAAGAAGATGGGAGTAATTGTTATTTGGAGTGAAGAGCTGAAGGAGACTGAGCAGGCCCACAGGGTCCCCAGATCATGATGTGCACCTCTGAAACCAAGGCATGGGGCGGGGGAGGGCGGTATGAGCATCACACATACCCATGCCAGCCTTCCTGGGAGGTGAGAAGTGGAAGGCAGTACACAGAGAGCTCCAGAGGGCCTGACCATGGGAGGTCATGGTCACGGCCACACACACATACTGCACCTGCACTCATGGTTAATCCCCACCCAACCTCCCTGCCTGGCCCTGACAACTGTCCCTGGGAATATTGTCTCCTTAGGCCATGGAGGGCTGAACCAGCTAGGAGGAGCCTTTGTAAATGGCAGACCCCTGCCAGAAGTGGTCCGCCAGCGCATCGTAGACCTGGCCCACCAGGGCGTAAGGCCCTGCGACATCTCTCGCCAGCTCCGTGTCAGCCATGGCTGCGTCAGCAAGATCCTTGGCAGGTAAGCACGAAATTCACTATGCACCACGTTCCCTGCAGGGCCCTTGCCTTCTGCAGCCAGCCTTCTGGCTGCAAGCCCACCCACCTGCCTGGGGACTGGAGGTCTGCTCCCGATGTCCAACTTTGGTCTGGAACTTGAACAGGGTGTGGTTGGTTGGGCTTTGTGGCCTTTGCCTATCCCCTGCTCTTTTCTGGTTTTCTTGCCCTTCCTTCCTTTTTCATCCATTTCTTCTTCCTTTAGTTTCTCCCTCTCCCTTTTTATCTGTCACCCATGTGTCATTTGCTAGAGGATTCTCTGCTCCTGAGGCAGGACAATCTTGACCAGAGATTATCTCCCTGCTGAGACCTAGAGAAATGAGCTGCTAGGGAGAGGACACACATGAGACACGGCTGCCAAGGTCTGGTCCCTGCAAGAAGGAAGTCTGGGTTTGGGCTTCTTAAACCATAACTCCCAGGGCACCTGCAACAGAAGCACTTGGGTTATTTGATAAAATGCATATCCCTGGGTCCCAGTCCAGACCTACTGAATCAGCCTATCTGGGAGCCAGGCCTAGATGCTGTGATTCTTACGAGATGATCAGGAGACACTTATGAACACTAAGGATTGAGAGGCATTGATCTACAAGACAACAGGGCAGTGGTCCACAGCCCTGGCTGCACATTAGAGTCACCTGGGCAGACTTTATTAAAAAATAATAATAATAATGTCTATGTCCCAGCCCAGATCAATTAAGTCAAAACTTTAGGGGAATAGGCCCAAGTTTTAGTATATTGTTAAGCACCCCCTTTCCCAAAATGACTCTAATTCTCTGCAGCCAGGGTTGAGAACCACTGACCCAAAGGTTCAGGAGGGGCCAGGAAAGGCAAAGCCTCCACATTTTCTAAGCTGGAGAACCACTTCCATCAGAAATGCCCCTGCACCTGGGAACATTTATTTTATTTTATAGAATGTTGTGTTGCCCAATTCCAGAATTGCAATAAAGCCAATCGATATCTTTAAAAACAAAATGCCCCTGGGCCGGCCCGGTGGCGCACTGGATAGTGCGCCGCTTGGGAAGCGCGGCGGCGCTCCCGCCCGAGGGTTCGGATCCCACGTACAGACGGGTTCCCGCTCCCTGGCTGAGCAAGGCGCAGGAGCAACACCGAGGGTTGCGATCCCGTTGCCGGTCCCCGGTCCGGTGCGGGGGCAACACTGAGGGTTGCAATCCGTTGCCGGACACGGAAAAAGACAAAAGACCAAAAAAAAAAAAAAAAAAAAAATGCCCCTGCACCAGAGGATGCAGGGCTCCTAGTCAGCTCTCTGTGCCTCTTCCCCTCCCCATACCTGTCCCCCTCCCCAGCCCATGTGTGGTCTCAGAAGGATCCCTGGTTGGACAAGACAAAGGGGCCTGGACTGGAAATGAACTGTCGACAGCCCTGGCTCCTGTGTGAAGTTGTTAGGGAAAACCATAGCTCTTTGCTGAGGTCAGGAGAGGAAATTCCCAGGATTGGCTGTGGCATCCCAGAGAAGAGATGAGCCCTGAATGGTAGACAAATGAATAAAGTTTTAAAGAGCCAAATTCTTTTTCCTGGCAGAAGAGACCAGAAAGTTTCACAACACACAAGGGAGATATCCTAACATAAGCCATCGATCTGTCAAAGCAGCTAGCTGGGGGATGAAGAGAGGGAAGAAATGGACACCCTGGAAGAGGAGGCTCAGCTTAGTGGCTGGACCTGGCCAGGGATCCACGCGAGGCTGGGATTCCACAGTTCACAAGGAGCAGCTTCAATGCGAACTACGTAACCTGATAGACAACCGGTGACCAGGGCAGTGAGGGATACGGCTCGGGCTTGGACAGGGTGTGGAGCAAAGGTGAACCAGAAAGACAGGGCAGAGGGCCCAGTGACCCCAGCTGGCCTCCCAGGCAGGGGTAAAACCAAGACACCAAGGAGAAGAGTCAGTCATGCTTTAGCCAAGAGAAGCTGGATGGAGAGACCGCCCCCATCAAACTGTACCTCCCACAGAGCACAAATGCCAAGATTTCCTTCCTTAGGAAGAAGTCTCTTGTGCCCCATAAGATGGCTCCTGCAGGTGCTCAGACACAGGAGAATGGCCAGAGGAAAGAGAAAGAGGGAAGCCAGGGTGAGGTCTTTAGCGGAGGGCTCTGGTTTGTCAGCAACATGAACCTACCCAAGCAAGGGAAACAGACAGTTCTGGGGACATCAAGTGTTGAGGCCAGGCTTCGGGGCACGTTGCACTCCCATGCCCTCCCCAGAAGGCTCAGAGGGGAGAGAGGCTCCAGCTAAGTCCCTGCCCAAAGATCCCACCTGCTTATTGGGTAATTCTTTGGGGTTCTCTATTGGAGTAGGTACTACGAGACTGGCAGCATCCGGCCTGGAGTGATAGGGGGCTCCAAGCCCAAGGTGGCCACCCCCAAGGTGGTGGAGAAGATTGGGGACTACAAACGGCAGAACCCTACCATGTTTGCCTGGGAGATCCGAGACCGACTCCTGGCTGAGGGTGTCTGTGACAACGACACTGTGCCCAGTGTCAGCTCCATCAACAGGTGAGTGAGAAACAGCAGCCTCTGGCATCCGACTGGGGCCCCTGAGCTTTGGGAGAATAATGAAAGAGACCTGAAGAAGGGCCTGGCTTGGGTGGAGCACGGGCTGGAAAGGGGCCTCATGCTGAAGAATCAGGCAGGAAGCACCCCCCGTACCAAGCAGCTGTCTCCTCTCCCCGCCTCCTCACCTGCCCCATGCTCCGGGGCACCCTCCCCCACCCCCACCCCCACCGTGGTGCCCACCGTGATGTGCTATCTACAGTTTCCTTCCTCAAACACCACATCCTCTTTCATTCAATAAAAGAATCTTCTTGAATTGATCTTTTCCTGAACTCAAGACCCCTAACCCAGCCTTCATTCAAGCATTCTCTCACTTGTTTAGTCCTTCAACTATTCACTCACTATCTCAATCAGTCATTTACTCACTCACTCATTCATCCATTCATTTATTCACTCATTATGCACTAGGCCCTGGGGACACAAAATCTCTGTCCTCACAGAGCTTACAGTCTAAGGAGAACAGACACTAATCAACTACCCACATGAATGATTGTAAAAATGCAGCTCTAAGTCCTGCTAAGAGAGGAACATGAGGGTGCCTGAGCTAGCGTAGTGCGACTTGGCTTGGGAAGGCAATGAAAGGCTTTCCCTGAGTAAGACACAATGAGTAAGAGTTAACAAGGTGAAAGGCGGAGCAAAAAGAGCTCAGAGAGAGCACATGCAAAGGCCCTGTGGCTAATACGATCTTACACAAGAAGCTGAAAGCCAGTAGAGAGAGGGAAGGGGAGAGGAGGTAAGCTGAGATTGCAGATGTCCACAGAGGCTTCTCTTCGGGGGCTAGTGGCTGTATTACATATTCTCACCTTTGGTCCATGAGCAATGGGAAGTCCTTGGTAGGTTTGAAGCAGGGGGCTTACTTGGATTTCAGAAGGCTCACTCTGTCTGCAATAGGGAGAATCAATTAGAAACGGTCAAGAGTGGACAGAAGTGGGCCAGTGGGTGACTCTCGAAGGAGAGAGTTGGTGGTGTCATGCTCTAAGGTATTGACCCATAAGATGCAGAGAGGAATGAATGCTGGAGAGGTTTACAAGGTCAAGCCCACAGAACTGGATGATGGGTTTGATAAGGAAGGGAGGGAAGCAAACGTTAAGCCCCACCTGTGTTTCTGCCTTGAGTGACCAATGGTACTAATCATGGAATGGGGACACTGGGGTGGACCAGGTATGAGGAGTAAGGTCATGGGTTTGATTGTAGACAGGTTGACTTCAAGGTGCCTTTGAGATACCCAAATGGGATGTCAAGAGGTGATTGGATCTGGGGCAGCCATGAGTCCTGTTTTCTCTTCTTTTCTCTGATAACCTTTCTTCTCTTCCTCACAGAATCATCCGGACCAAAGTGCAGCAACCATTCAACCTCCCCATGGACAGCTGCGTGGCCACTAAGTCCCTGAGCCCAGGGCACACACTGAGTGAGTGTTGAAGGACCTGGACACACACACACACCCTCACACACATATCCCCATCTATGTAGACACAAACACACAGAGTCACACACAAACACCCACACGGACACACCTGTGTACTCATAAATCTATGTGTGGACTGAGCTGTTCCACTGGAACAAAGCCTGGCCTGCTTCCCGGGAAAGATCCACTGAACTATTGAGAGGTGGGAACACTTCAGACAGCACTGACTCCAAGAAACCCCCCACCACGAGCCCTCCGGAGGAATGACCTCCGAGCCTCTCCAGGGCTCTGTCCACAGCATGGTTTGCTGCCTCCACCATGGTGACAGCAGGGACTGTGAGGGGTGCCACTCCCACATCCTGACCCTTTCCTTCTTACCCCACTGCAGTCCCCAGTTCAGCGGTAACGCCCCCAGAGTCACCGCAGTCGGATTCCCTGGGCTCCACCTACTCCATCAATGGGCTCCTGGGGATTGCTCAGCCTGGCAGCGACAGCAAGAGGAAAATGGATGACAGTGAGTGTTGGGGGACAACAGGGCAGCTTGGGGGGTAGAGGAGGGCAGTGTGCTCAAGCTTTGATGGAGACAGAAGTCCTTCCCCTGATGGCCTAGGACTTTGTCGGGGCTCTGCAATGCCCAGCCTGCAGAGTCACACGTCCTGTCTGCAAGCTGGCCAAGGCTCCGAGACTGGGAGCCTGGCCCTTTCCCTCCCTCCGCTCTGGCCTGGGGGATGGGTAGATGATTCCCCTGAAAGCTCTCTCCCTGCCTGGGGCTGCCAGGTGACCAGGACAGCTGCCGGCTGAGCATCGACTCGCAGAACAGCAGCAGCGGGCCTCGAAAGCACCTTCGCACCGACGCCTTCAGCCAGCACCACCTCGAGCCGCTCGAGTGCCCATTTGAGAGGCAGCACTACCCAGAGACCTACGCCTCTCCCAGCCACACCAAAGGCGAACAGGTGAGAAGCTGGGCTGCGGGAAGTGAGCAGGGGTGGGCAGGGATGGGGCAAGGCATGCTCTGCCAGTGAGCCTGAAGTCCTGCCACCAGAGCAACCAGAAGCTGGGCTCTGGGTATGTGCTTCTCGCTGCTGCAAGCCTGATAGGCTTTACTTCTCCAGATGCCCTGGCATCTTCCTCCTCTCCCAACCCTCTCGCCTCCCCTCACCCAAAGCCTTGGAGTCTATCCCTTTCCAGGAGGACAACCTAACTTGGTGGGGCCATCCCCTTGCCATCGATGGCTCCCCTAGGCTGCAGGATGAGTCCAACAATCTTAAAGTGTTGGCAACAAAGCCTTCATACGATGACCTCAAGCACCGCCACCGGCCCTGCCTGCAGCTGCTCACTGTGCACACCCCATGACCCTACATTACTCACGCCCCCAAGCACACCACCCCATTCACACTTCTCTGCCCTTGCACATGGTGTGCCCTCCTCACAGAATGCCTTTCCTCCCACTTCCCTGCCTGGAAAAACACCACTTGGCCATTATGACTCAGCGCAAACATCACCCTCTCCATAAATTTTTCCCTGTCCCTCTCTCCCTCCTCTGTGCTATGGCATGTCCCACCTGAGCTCCTGGTAACTTCTCACCGTGTCTCACCACAATCGTGTAAAGACACAACAGATTTCTTAAGGACAGGGCAGCCTCCAGAAACATTGTTTTTATCTCTAGCACCTACCATTGCATCTTTTAATAGATGCTCAATATAGGTATATTGAGTGAATGAACAAATGAATAAGTTGAGAAACCCGGAGCAATACATCACAAACTACAGGGAATTTTTCTTGCTAGTGCTCAAGACGGGTGGAATGGATGATAATGGGTTGGCTCCCGTGGAAAGCTGACAGAGACGTGAGAGGTCCCACCCTCAGGCCAGCAAAGACTCTACAGCTCCAACAGAACCACTGGGCTCCCAGCTCATTACTACCCGTCAGCAGTCGTAGTGTCTTCCTCCCCTCACCCACCAAGTCAACCAGCCGAGGAGGGTCTTTAGGGTAGTGTCTGTTTGCCCCTCTTTGCTTACACTGTCATTTGCTTCACGAGTGAGGCAAGCCCTATGCCTTTAAGATCTGAGAAGGACAATGGCGATGATGCCAGTAATCTGCTGAACCACTGCCAGTGACCGTAGGGGCTGCTGGCCCTGTGCCAGCACCCACAGCTGGGCTTGCAATCTGCGTCAGCTGTTTTATCAGCTTTGGCTGGGGCAGCCACGAGGGGTGCTGGGAAAGCCGGCCGTCAGCAGACCTGGGGAAAGGGCCTGGACGTTCATCCACAAGTCAACACAGGCTCCAGGAGGGAGACGGGCCTCAGTGGGGGGCCTGCAGGAAGCCTGCCCTGTAACAGTGAGACTGCAAACCCAGGGTGCAAGCCCCAGCCGCCCTGGGAGAGTAGAGAAACCCTGCCAACGAGACCCTGCGCACCCGCTGGGTCCCAAAGTCATTTTCTGGCTCCATCCCCAAGCCCCACAAAGGAACCTGCTTGATGACAGTGAACCTGGGCCATGCCAGCATCCCTACATAAGGAATCCTAGAATGAGAGAGTCTTAAAGCTAAAGGGGACCTCGGTGACCCCCTAGTCCAGTTTTTCCATTTGTGTGGAGATAATCCAGGGTCAGAAAAGACAGGGAAGGTTTGGGAGAAGCAGATGGTTGTGGAGCTCAGGGCTGCTGGCCCTGGTTTCATCCAGACGGGTCCCTGTTATCTGTTTTAGATATGGTGTTTCTATGTAAGTTCTTACTTAGAGACTGGAAAAGACATTTTGAAAACCATCGAACTGTTCCAACTCCCTATCCTCATAAGGAAACTAAGGCCCAGCACAGTGTCCATCAATCATTCATTCCCTCCCTCAGTCAATCACTGACTCACTCATTCATTCACCTGGCGTGGTGGTGAGGGGACGAGAGAACCCAGCCAGTGCCCATGGTCCCTCACATCCAAGTTCTTACTGCCAAAGAAATACTCCGTGTTCTCTCACCTGGGCAGAGGAAGGTCTCTGGCTTGGGAAGCCACGAGAGAAGCACAGGTACTCACACCTGACCTTAAGACGGGGCATAGACAGAGCCATCTCTTCTGCAAAATTAACAAGTGGGAAAGTATTTAAGAAAAATGTCATGCAGCTTCATTCCTGGTTGCTATTTCACTGCCAGGCATAGTTAGAGGAGTTAATATAGCTCTCGTTCCTCTGTTTCATAAATGCACCAAGAAGCATGTAAACAGAATGTGAATATCATGACAGAGACCAGGAATTTGGCAGCTCTGACTCTTCACATAATCCTGAAATAATAATAATAATAACTATGATAACAGATTCTCAATCTGTTGTCAGCATTCTATGCTAAGAGCTTTATATAAGTGCTCAAGCATTCTATGCTAAGTGCTCTATATAAGTAAATAAAGTCTCATTGAATCCTTACATCAGCCTTGTGAAGTAGATTCTATGATCCCTGTTATACAAGTAAGAAAATCAAGGCTCAGAGAGATCAAGTAGACTAAAGCTACTTGGCAGTTCATTGCAAAACCAGGGCTCAAACTTGCTTAAGTTCTGAAGCTTTGTGCCACTCTGCCCGCAATTCAGATTCAATCCCAGTACAAAATCCAGCCATCACTGGGATGTTTAGGCCATTCAATGCAACAACACCAAAATGTTTGACTCTATACATTTTTTCTTCTTTTTTCACTAAATTGCCTAAATTTTAGAATAGCTATAGGATTTTGAGTAGATATTTTGTTATTGAATCAACATATCTATAAGGCATTTTAAACTTTTCTTACACCCTGTAGAAATTAGGTGTTTTGTTCAATGTCATTAAGCCGGGCTCTAAGCAACTCCACCCTGCCCTAAGTGGGCCCCCTCAGAAGGCATGGAACCAGAGTACCATTTAGTCAGTAATTGTCGCTACACACCAATGATGCCCTTGTGGCCTCCAGAATTGACTGAAGCTTCCAAAAGTGCCTGGCAGGCAATCGGAAAGTGCTGTGGCTCCTTGGAGAACCCAGCTTGATGGAAATCACTGAAAGCAGCTGTCTTTGGAGGAGCTGTTATGTAACCACAGAGCATTCCCTGATTTCAGTTTTGCACAATGCTTCACATAGCGCATTTGTGACGTGGGTGACCCATAGATGGGGCATGGATGTGTGCTATCTCATCCCCTGGTGGGAGGAGCCATGTTGAGGGTGAAGTGCATTTGCCTTTAGTTGAACAAGTTCTTTTTGGAAGGAACAGCTTAGGCAATAGCTGTACTCATGCCAGGAGAGGCTGGTAGACTAAAATGAAGTCTCATTGACAAAAACCCCCAGGTACTTGATAAAGAGTATTTCAAAGAGAATTAACCCCAAGTATCATTTTCAAGCTGAAGCTGCACACTTCCATTTGTTTGGATACGGAGAGAGAGACGAAGAAATCCATCTGCTGTGGTGGGTAGAGCACCTGGGGCAGCATCCAAAATTCTGGGTGTAGTCCCAGTTTCATTTACAGAACTGGGACATTTACCCCTCTGCATTTCAGGCTCCACGTGTAAAACAGATACAATGTTACTCATGTCACAAGGATGCTGGGGGGAGTCTAGGAGGATGACAGACAGAGGCAGAGCTCTAATGGAAGCTCTTGGCAAATGTGAGAAGTGGTCATTATGTCATCCAGTTTAGGGCAGCAGTTGAGAGTAGGGGCACTGGAGTCTGACCCCTGGAGCCTGAATCCTGGTGCAACTCCATATGGGAGTATGACAAGTTTCTTATCCTCTCTGGGCCTGTGTTTCCTATCTGGAGAGGAATAAATTAACTGAGCGAAGCACTCTGAACAGTACTGTTAGGTGACTGCTCCAGCCCTTGGCACCATCCTATCCTCTGAGGTCTCAAACTGTGTTTGGAGACCAGGAAAGAGATCAGCTATCCAGCCAGGGCATGTCCTCAGAGGGCGACTCTCTATCCCATGCCTGGGCTTCCATGCCACTAGCGAAGCTTGAATTCCAGGGATGCAGAAAGGGAAAACCCTGAGCCTGGGATTGGGAGAACAACAGTAGGGCTTTGAGTCGGAGAACAGAAACGATTAAACACGCTGAGCGGAGTCAAGAATGAGCAAGAAGAAGGGGTCAGTGAAGAAAGGAGCTTTTCCTAGAGAAATGAGGGCCGCCAAACCCTGAGACAGGCAGCAGCGTCTGTAGGAAGGCTTGCTTGCCCAGGGCTCTCTGTGCTCTGACTTCTTTTTGCTCCCCAGGGCCTCTACCCGCTGCCCTTACTCAACAGCACCCTGGACGACGGGAAGACCACCCTGACCCCTTCCAATACGCCCCTGGGGCGCAACCTCTCGACTCACCAGACCTACCCCGTGGTGGCAGGTAGGACGCCTGGAGACTCCCCCAGCTGGAGCCAGCTGTGAGGGCGAGCTGGAGGGCAGGGAAAGCAGAGCTTAGCTGGCCGTCAGCAGGCAGGTGTTTGGGGCCCTGGCCTGGAGACAGAGGTGGCCTACGCCTCAAGGTGTGTCAGGGGGGCCGTGCCTGCAGCCCTCGGCCCTGCCTGAGTCTCCTGGCTGCCCCCGCCGGAGAGGCGGGGCACACACCCTCTGACCCGCGTGGTCTCTCCATCTGCATTGGGACAAGGCAGCGCAGGGAGGCAGAGCTGCTCCTCCCCTCCCCCACCCGAGGGACACCGTGTGGCCCCTCGCTCCCGCCCCCGACGCCCGCGCCCCGTCCCCGCCTCTCACGGCTTGGTTTACGTGCATGTTCCCGCCCCGTCATCTCACACCCCTCTCTCCTTGTTGTCTCCCTCCCTCCGGCAGATCCTCATTCACCCTTCGCCATAAAGCAGGAAACCCCCGAGGTGTCCAGTTCTAGCTCCACCCCTTCCTCTTTATCTAGCTCCGCCTTTTTGGATCTGCAGCAAGTCGGCGCCGGGGTCCCAGCCGGTGCCTCGGTCCCGCCCTTCAATGCCTTTCCCCATGCTGCCTCCGTGTACGGGCAGTTCACGGGCCAGGCCCTCCTCTCAGGTACGACAGGGAGGTCCCGGGGGCCTTCCTTGCAGGCATTGCGGGGGGCGGGAGGTGGGGTCCTCAGGGCCAGCTGCCAGTCCCTAATTTGGGTGCAGCCCCTTTCCGGGCCCCCATCTAGTCCACGACCATCCTATGACCTCATTCCCTCCACAGCTTTTGGAGGTGCCAGGCATGGTTCTCCATGCCAGGAAATCAGGCCTCAGAAAGGACAAGCACTCTGGGGCTGCCAGAAAGTTGGCACAGCACCCCAAGACCCCATGCAAAAGCAGGGACCCTAAGGCCAGGAGCCAGGCACTGTAAAAGGGTAAACACTTGATCTTGGTTTTAAAAAATTAAAAAGAAGGAAAAAGAATCAGAAAATTTTGGAAGGATGAAGGCATTGGTCTTTGGAGCCAATTTCCGGATCAAATTCCTGAAAAGGACAGAGGGTTAATCCCAGTTGTGTCTCCATGATGTAGCTATCTTCATACCCAGTTTAACCCATGGAGGACACTCAAGCATCTTTTAAACATCATAAACTCCTAGTGACTCAACAACTTGAGAGATGGGGGCCCAGAGGACCTCCCACCAGGAACCTCATCTGCCTCAAAACATTTAAAGGTAGAAGCACCTTAGGAGGCATCCAGAACAAATCTGTCCTCGTACTGAGGAAGAAGCAGGCCCAGGGAGGAGAAGGGCCTAGCCAGGGTCTCTGGATGGGAGCATGGTGACCCGCGGGTCAGGCCTTGGGTACGGCTGGGTCTCCTGGCAGAAAGACATCTGCCCATCCAGCTGGGGCCTGAAAATGGCTGAGACGGTCAAGTGTTTGGCTTGGGCAGGAGAAAGCCTGAGATGCAGTGAAGGCTGAGGGGAAGGGATTCGTGACAGTCTTCAGATATCTCAAAGGCTTTCATAGGGATGACGCTATTTTAGATGTGGATCCAAGGGGGTCCCAGGCCCAATGGAAGAGGCCAGCTAGCTTTCAGTTCAGCATTGGCAGGATCTCCCTAATGTTACAGCTCTCTCCAAGGAGTACCGGTGTTTAGTCACAGAGTGAATGTCTTCCACTCCCCCTCCCCCCACACCCCCAACCCCAGCCCAACTGAAAACCTTGAGATGCTAAAGCAGAGAACAGTGGGAGGTGAGGCGGGGGCACCTGTTACAGAGACAACCCAGAGTCCAATAGTCCATCTGGACCAGTGGTTTTCAACCTTGTTGAAACCCTTTACAGAAGTCAAGTATACTAACCAGACCAGTGAAGAGTTGCTCTGTTTGAATTAGGCGCCTTTACCCCAGAAAGCCTTGAACTTGAAAACCACTGCACCAGAGGAGTAAGACCTCTTCCAGCCCAGAGGGCCCACAGGGTCATTCAATTCAAGTCCATGGACCCTTTCTTATAACCAACTGTACATTTCCTGTCTGTCTGGCACCTGAGGGTTTTTTGGTTTTTTTTTTTTTTCTCTGTGCATCCCTGCATCTAATGTGGCAGGTCCCCTTGGAAGAGATGGACTCCCAGTGTGTGGGCGGACAGACAGTGTTTAAGGGTCTGAAGCAAGGAAGAAAATGTTGACTCGGAGTTTGAAACTTCAAAAGAGGGTGAAGTCAGCAGAGATGGGTCATTTGTTTTGACCAAAGTGATGAAAGGAGAAAAATCTGTGAGCTGAGTGGCATTATGTCAGCCAGAGAGGATGGGATGGGGAACGGCAGAAGAGGGCAAGTAGAAGAGGCCCGCATCCATTGTGGGGTGGACCAGCTGCTCACAGGGCAAGCCCGTGTGTCTCCTGCAAGTGGCAGGCCAGAGTCAGGGGCCACAATGAAGCAGGTGGGGAATGAGGGTATGCATGATGCACGAGGTGACAGGGAGCAGCTCTTCTGTTACTGCACGAGCTGTGGAGAGGCTTGGCAGGACCAGCTGAGAGGGGCAGGCAGGACAGATGGCAGCTGGAAGTTGATCGATATATCATAGCCCAGACTTGAGCTGTGGTATGATGTGTAGTTGGAACAGTCCAGGGCAAACTTCCTGCTCCCCAAACCCCCACACTTTCTCCCCCCCCCCC